AGATAGCAAGAGAGGGAACACAAGCAGGGGCGAGGGAGAGGGAGAAGCAGGCTTCCCGCGGAGCAGGGAGCCCGATGCGGGGCTCCATCCCAGGACCCTGGGACCATGACCTGAGCCAAAGGCAGACACTCAATGACTGAGCCACCCAGGCACCCCTCATTGTGATTTTAATTTGCATTTCCCTAGTGACTAATGATGTTGAACATATTTCCATGGGCTTATTGGACATCCATGATTCTTTTCTTGTGAAATGTCTATTCAAATCTTTGGCTCATTAAAAAAAAAAAACTAATGTTATTTTCTTATTACCAAGTTCTAGGAGTTCTTTATATATTCTGGATACAAATCCTTTGTCAAATGTATATATTGCAAATGTTTTCTCCCAGTTTGTGGTTTGTATTTTTATTTTAACTGTTTCTTTTAGAAATCAGGAGTTTAAAATTTTGCCAGATGCTAATTTATCTATTTTTTTCCTTAAAAAAAAAGTCTGTGCTCTTGTGCCCTGTGTATGAAATGTTTGCCTGTCTCAAGAGTACCAAGATTTTCTCTTATGCTTGCTTCTAGACATTCTGTTTTAGCTCCTACACATAAGTCCAGAATCCACTTAAGTTAACTTTTGTACATGGTTGATAGTACTATATGAGTATCCAGATGTTTCAACATCATCTTTTGAAAAGATTATTTTTTCATTACTGGATTACCTTAGCACCTTTCTCAAAAATCAGCTGGCCATATGTAAGTCTCTTTGTGGAGTCTGTATTCTGTTTCATTGATCTACATGTTTGTCCTTACACCAAAGTCACTCTATCTTGATTACTATTGCTTTATTGTTAAGTCTTGAAATTCAGTGGTGTGAGTCTTCCATCTTTGTTTTTATTTTGCAAGATCGCTTGGCTAACATTTAGGTCCGTTGCATTTCCATTCAAATTTTAGAATCTGCTTGTTAGTTTGCTTGCCCCATATTTTTTTAAATGCTACTGTAAACTGTATAGGCAAACAGTTTTAAAAAGTACATTTTTGGGGCGCCTGG